CCCCCGTTCGTAAGCTGCTCTGGTGCCACTGGTCTGCTGGAGACCGTCTCCAGCAGACCAGGGGCACCGGGCGGGTTCCCCCGCTTCTGAGGCTTTGCTCTGGCAAAGCCTCAGAAGCGGGGGAACACGCCGCTGCTGCGGGTTTGCTCCCGGTGCCCCTGGTCTGCTGGAGATAGTCCCCAGCAGACCAAGGGCACCGGGAGCAGCTTTTGTCGCCCCGGAGTTCCAGGTGGCTGACCGCTGCCTGTGAGCTCCGGGGCGAGAAAGCCCCGTTCGTAAGTGCGGATCCGACATAAGTCGGATCCGCGTAAGTCGGGGACTGCCTGTACTGCTCCTTGGGGAGAGGGGGGATGATCTCAGCTCTGTGCCTTGACTAGGGGAGACCAGGGGATCTGGCCCAGCAGAAAAGGGTGGTGAGAAGCCCCAGAGAGCAAAGAGGTGAGTGTAGTGGCTTTGTCAGCCCTCTGGGAAGCACCCTCCATTCCGTGACTTCACCCCATCACAGTCATGTGTATGTATGGGCAAGAGACATAGGACCTAGTTGGAGAAACACTGATGTGAGGAAAGATAATATTCAGGCTGGATAGACTGAAGACCAGAATGGTGGGAGCAAGGGAAAGAACTCTGATGTGGAGGTGGACAAAAGTCTGAATGTTTCAGAAGGTTCTGAGCAAGTTAGTTGTGAAAAAGCCTCATTCAGATAAATTATTATTTTTCCATCTATGCAGTAGTCTATCTCAAAGATCTACTTCCTTTTCTAGAATCCTAAGGATCAGCTACTAGGAAATCCATAGCAAAAACGTTGGGCTAAAGGCAAATGGTATTCCCAGGCAAACTCACCAGAGAATAACAAAGGTTAACTGCTTAATTTCCCAAATCAGAGGAGATCAAACTATCTCAGGGTATGTCTACACTACAACATTAATTTGAACTAACTTAGTTCAAATTAGTTAATTCAAACTAATGGATCCAGACTAAAAAACTAGTTCAACTTAGCATTTTGCTAATTCGAACTAGCATGTCCACATTAAGTGGACCCTGAACCAGGCTTAAGGATGGCCGGAAGCAGTGCCGGCAGGGCATCAGAGGAGGACTTAGAGCGTGGAGATGCTGTCTCAGGCTAGCCGAGGGCTGTGCTTAAAGGGTCCCGACCCCCACCCCGGACAGACAGTTCTCAGGGGTGCCCCGCTTGCAAAGCAGTCCTGGCTTGGAGTGCCCGATATACCCACACTGGGCACATCACAACACTCGGCCATCAGACCGGCTGCACTTGCCGCAGGCTGCCATCTGGAGAGAGGGGGTAATTGGGGGGCTGCAGGAGAGCTTCCACCCCCAGAAGCCCGCAGAGCCAGCCCAGTCCTCCCCATCGGGGGCTCGTGCCCCATTCCTCCCTCACCTTCTTCCACTTACTCTTCCCTAGCTCCTCTTCTTGATGTACAAAATAAAGATAACGTGTCTTCCAAAATGGAATCTGTCTTTATTGAACAAAACTGAGGGAGACTGGGAAAAGGAGGTGGGAGAGGGGAAGAGAGAGGCTGGGAGAGGGGAGGGCAACTAAAATGATCAGGGGTTGGGAACAGGTCACATATGAAGAGAGGCTAAAGAGACTGGGACTTTTCAGCTTAGAAAAGAGGAGACTGAGGGGGGATATGATAGAGGTCTATAAAAGCATGAGTGGTGTGGAGAGGGTGAATAAAGAAAAGTTCTTCATTAGTTCCCATAATAGAAGGACTAGAGGACA